CACACACACACACACACACACACACACACACACACACACACACACACACAAATTTAGACTTTTTCTTTTTTTAACATTGATTGGGGTTAATGTGACACACTGTGCGTAAAAGTCAGGGCGGGACCCAATTTATCTTCTGCATCACACCCAGTGCGCACAGGGAAGAGCGTTGACACGCAGAATTTTGGGGGTGAAAGGACACTTGACACACTTGCACATGTTAGCACACGCACACGCACACACATACCATCCCTTCTTATGTATCTTGGCCTATATTCAGGCCTCCTCAGCCACCTTTGTTTCTCATGTGCATGGACCTGTGGACCTCATCTTCACTTGTGTGGAATGAAGCCTGAGACAGAGGAGGGGGGGGGGGGCAATCTGATAGACACATTAACTAAACTATACTGCCCATACACCCCCTCCTCCTCCACCTTTTCATTATCCACTGCGTTACCCAGTGTTACTGGGCGCCTATGATGAAATATTTAGGTGCACTAGTATATGCTTTTAGACGGAAAATGAAGGCGACAGCGGGAGTTCATGCTTGTTTAGCGTTTAAAGATTAAAAGAGAGGCTTCTTTCTTTTCTTTTTTTCTTTCTTGGACAGATGTGGGGAAGCAGGGAGGCTCTAGCTGTTTAAAGTGGAGCAAGTGAAGATATGCTATTCCAGTTCAGGTCAAATATGACATTCTTTTCTTACTTTTCTTTTTAGGCTACAATTAAAAGTGATTATTAGTTATTGATAGCAGTGTTCAGTATAGTGATGTAAATGAGGAGTATCTATCAACTCAATGAACAACATAAATCAACTCCTTAGAGGAACACAATTAATGAGGTGATTATTGTCACAATTCTACTTTGGAGTCATTGAAATCACCATGAAGTCTATAAATCTGTGACACTCTTGAGATTTTATGTTCACGTAGCTACGTGGCCCGGTTTTCCAAGTTTGTTGTTGCCATATGACATCAACCCCACACTGCTGTATTCTGAATAATAACTTGTGTTGCACTTTGAGGCATAAGGCTGCTAATTTGCATCTCCTTTCCAACTAAACTCATATTAAAAAAGTTCCCCCCAGAAACATTGTAATCACGAAGGTGTCACTTTCCTGATAATCTGCGGTTGATTAATGAGCCCCGAGAAGAGGAGTGTGTGAGTGCCTCTGTGTGTGTTCATAAGTGTGTGTGTGTGTGTGTGTATGTGTGTATGTGTGTGTGTGTGTGTGTCTGTGTGTGTCTGTTTGCAAAGAGAGAGAGAGGGAGAGAGGGAGAGAGGGAAGTGGAGGAGGCTTAATATGGGGACAGGAAGATGTTTCTTATCCCCCCCAAAAAACAGTCAATCGACTATAAAGTGAGACAAGCAACAAAAACAAAGGTCAACTATATGTTGACGAAGAAGCTCAATCTTTGATGACAGCAATGGATGATGTCAAATGTTGATGGATTTATGAAGAACAACCTTGTTCATTAGCTGCTTTGAGAAATAATACATTGATTATAACCTATGGGACAGAGAATTGTTGGCCTTTCTGAACATCTGAGGTGATTTTGAGGTAAAACTCCACCCAAGATTTGTTCTGGGGGTGGGGGCTTTGGACAGTTGTGATGCACTGAGTGTGCACTGAGACAGGAAACTTCCCTGAATCAAGTACGGTTCAGTGATCGTTCGGATGTTGATCCTTGTCATGTTTAAAACTCCCCAATGTAGGTTAGCATCAGGTGAAAGGAAGAACTCGGTTTATTGACTTCTTCAAAATGGATTTGTCTCTGTTGTCTATCTCCCTGGCCCATTTTAGTCTTCCCTTGTATGTATTTCATAGTTTTTAAAAATAAAATATTCAGCCAAATTGTGAGCTTGCCTACCCTCTAATTGCACAAATGTCTTCCTGTTCATTTGTTTTTAAAACAAAAATCTTCAGCGAACCGTTCATCTTACTGATGTCATACTCTGCATGTGTATTCTTAATGGCGAAAGGGATGTGCAATGTTGAATTTGTTGCTATTTGGACCATTGATATATTTAGCAACTGGGTTAAACTGTGGGTCAAGATCGCTGCCAGGTCATTTTTGTAATTCTTACTTCACTTTATCAAACCGATACAGATCCAGAGCTTTTATTTTGAAAAGCCGTAAACTAATGTTGGCTTAACAGACCACTGGAATTGCTGACATGCAATGCATGACAAAATAAAATCATTCAAACTTCTATACAAGCCACCACATGAACAGTAATAATGAAAATTGTATTTTATGAAAAACACTATCTATAGTTTCCGATAAACCAGGTAGGATGAACACAAAGTTTTCTAACTTCACTCTGCACCATAGTCTGTTTATAAAAAGCTCAGCACACAACGTCCACTCAAACAATAAATAGTGACAGTATATTGTAGAGCTGTTTTAGGAGGACTCACTAATGATGAGGAATAGTTCTGAGGTAGTGTACAAGTAGAGAGGAGAACTTTACAAACAGGACGGTTTAAAATGGACTCTACAGTATTCTTAAATATCCTGCCCTGTTTTCTTCAATACCAATTCATTTCTGTGTAAACTTTCTTGAAATATTAGTCCAACTCTATTTCACCCCATGTGAGGATACTTCTCCAGCACACTGTCTTTTAGTCCGTTGTCTCATGCGTTGGTTTTTGGAGTCAACAGTGTAGAAACCACAGCTGACCTCAATAGGCGAAGACATCTGCACAGGCCGACTCGCTCTGCGACATGAGGCCCCGAGCAGCTCCCAGGCTTTTCAATAGCTGCCGTGTTTCTCTTTCTGCAGTCATAGAAATAATGTCCAAGCATTCTTTGCACACGCACACACACAACACACACAAACCACACACACAACACACACAACACAGACACACAGTGCCGATCCAGAAAAACATTAGCCTATCTAGTGTCTAGTCTAGTCTTGGAGTCCAAATGGAATATTGATCTCCAACGATCTTCTCAATGTATTTCTTCTCTTGAGCAACACAATGATTTTTTTTTCCATTTCTCCTCTTCTGGCCCTAAAGCCCTAATGGTTTTTGCATGAGTTGGGTTGTAGACTTGGCTCCTCCAGGCACTCTGTATAAAACAGTGACTTTTGTTGCTGTTGCTGAAGATGTTTCCTCGTAGTAATACATTCTTTTATTTGGTGGTTTGTGCAAACTAGTAAACATTGTGTATCTTTACAAGCTGAG